CTGCACAAACCCCTAGTGTTTGGGACAGTACATTCTCCACACTGAAAACAGATCCCTACCTTAACAAAGAGTTTATAATTAAGTAATTGGCTGGGATCCTGAGCAGGCAGCACAAAAAGAGTCAGACCACAGAATCTTACTTCAGTGACAAAGAAGATCAAAACATACAACCAGAAGAAGACAACAAAGTCAAAGCTCCTACATCCAAAGCCTCCAAGAAAAACAGGAACTGGTCACAGGCCATGGAAGAGCTCAAAAAGGATTTTGAGAAGTAAGAGAAGTAGAGGAAGAACCGGGAAGAGAAATGAGAGTGAGGCAAGAAAATCATAAAAAACCAGACCCAAGATATACTGAAGAAAATAATTGTTTCCCATGTTTTTATGTATAGTCAATAAAAGTATTGGTGGGGAGGAATCATTTATATTCCAGTAAACATCTTCAAAGTTACAGATGAAGAAGGGGAAAAAAAGTGCTATTATTATCTCTATTTTACAAATAAGGAAATTGAGACAGACAGAAATTAGGTGACTAGGTGGTATAGTGCATAGGCACCAGGCCTAGAGTCAGGAAGACTTGAATTCAAATCCTGCCTCAACCATTTGCCAGCTGTGTGACCCTGGGCAAGTCACTTAACTTTTTGCCTCAGTTTCCTCATCTGCAAAATGATCCGGAGAAAGAAATAACCACTCCAGTATCTTTGCCAAGAAAACCCCAAATGGGATCACAAAGAGCTGGACATGACTGAACAACAACATATTATGTCCTGACCATCCCACTTGATACTAAATTCAGGACAAGCACGTGGTAAATGCTTATACATGCTCAAATTCTTTTCCTTATCTGATATTCCTTCTCTTCAATGTTGGATTTGATTAAAAAAAAAAACCTGCTCCAAACTTCAACACTAATTAAACCTGAGAAACAACTTAATTTTACAGCACATATTTGCAAAGGAAGGTGTGAATTGCTAACTTGTAGACAGTTTAAAAAATACAATAAATGGTCAACTCTAACAATAATTAAAAATGACTCATTTATGTGCCATTGAATGGCTTACAAAGTATTTTTCAGCATAACCATCCTGCAAAAAAGGCAATACATTTCACATCAGAAGAAAATGGAAATTCAGAGAATTTCATTCACATGTTCAGAGCCACCAAAAGTAATGATTGTGAGATTTCACAACTATGCCATAACTATACCAACTCCATGTATCTAAAAAATCTAACAGCTCACAATAGTGCCACAATTTAGTCAAAAAGCAATCAACAAAAGACAGACCTATTATAAACGTTAAAGATAACTTCTACCAGATGCCAACCATACTATATAACCATTATTACATTTTTATTCTCTAAATATTAATACCACAAACACTTGATCCGCCTAACCCAACCTTGTAAATAAGGGTAAAAAATTGACCATTCCAAAGATAATTTTTCCCTAGAAGTTCTCCTGGAAGCAAAAACAATAATATCAGCATTATTTTCTTTTTATTTTGATTGCTGCGTTCTGCCTTGGAAGATCCTTCTTAACATTCAAACAAGCTCACCAAAAAAGTACATTCCTCAAAAAGGGTTCAGCAAAACCACCTAATGATAGCATGATTAGGACTGACAACACAATCTGCATTCTTTTAAGAGGCTGACCTACTGATATACATTGTAAAGCATTCTGAATTTGTAAGAAAATAACCTTCTTCTACGAGAAATGATAATTCTAAACAAAGTGTTAAAACTTTGTTTTAAGGGACTATTTAGTATGGAATAAAACTTATGGCTCTGAAAATGAGATTCTGAAAACACATTATGCATTTATGTAATTCATGAAATCTTTAAAATTGATTTCAAAGAACTATCATAATCGTCTTAAATAGCATTACCAAAAAGTTCCTTAAACTTCCGGTAATCTAAATATCACAACTTTGTGCTGAAGCAACAAAAATGGGAAGTGAACTTGAATAGAAACCAAAATTGATCATCTAGTTTCATTATCCAAGGTCAGCAACGTGTGGAACATCAACAGAGCAAAGCCATAATGGAAATTAGATCTTTCAGTGTTAATAATACAGTGTTACTGGTAAGGAATTTTAAAATAAAAAATTTTCAACTCATGTTAACTTATCATAATAGCTTTATCATAGGGTAAAATTACAGCTCAAAAATATTTTCAACAGCAAGAAGAAAACAACAATTATTATCTAAACGAATGAAAATATTCTAATTTTTAAGAATGAACAAAATTTTTAATTAAAATTTTGTTTTATGTTGTAGTCATCAAAGTGATATGCTTTTGTTTCTTTGAAATAAACTATCTCAATTTCACTTTCATAAATAAAAAAATTTTGAACTTCTAGAAAATTTGGACTTTACACGTATATTTCACAGTATTGAATCAGGCTTTACTAATTATTCTATGTGTGTTAACTTACTAAAAATCAAAAGGCAGAATAGGAACTTAAACATTTTGGTAAGTTCATTTTGTGAATAACTATGCAAGATAGTACTTAGCTTAAAAATTGGCACTCCTGTAAGATACAGTGGGAAGAACACTGATTCTGGAGTCAGAGGTCCTCAGTTTAAACACTGCTACTGTCTCTTACTACTTCTGTGACCTTGGGAAAAATCACTTAACCTCTCTGAGTGTCAGCTTAATCATTTGTAAAATAAAAAAGTTAGGCTAGATAGTCTCTACCATTCCTTCCAGCTCTAAAAATCCTCAGTATGTATCCTGTTTTGCTTTTTAAAATTCAAAAGTATTTGCTTCAGGATGAAAAATGGAGTTTTCAAGTAAAGCCGTTGTGTGACCATCAAGAGGACAGCATCATCCTGTCCCAGTATACTGATAAATAATGGGGGAAAAAAAAGGAAAAAGAGGCTTGAGGTCAATCAGCAAGCAATCATTTACAAGTAACTTTCTTTACTAACATAAAATATATGTAGTAATGCACACATATACATAAAACAGTTTAATGTATTAATGTCTTCACATGATTAAAAACTGTATTTTTCTTTTCAAACTAGTTTCTTTAGAAAAATTAAACCTTCACATTTCAAATTTCCCTAATGAGCTTATCAGTAAAAATTATTTCATTCTGAGAAGCAATTCAGTAATTCATAAAAAATTAGGGGGAAAAGTCTAGTCGTAGCAAAGCCATTAGGAATTCCCAAGAGGCATCCCCAAAACCCATTTTGGTAAAATTTATTCCCCAGCTCTATGAAAGGTTTCACCAAAGGTGTAAGGGAAGAGAATAAACAGCTGACCTAGGACTTTTTTCTTTGTTTTGATCCTGCTCACATTCAAGCCACAAAGTTGACAAATCAAGAAATGGCCAAAATATAATCAAGTCAGAAGAAATATATCAAATGAACCTAACTCACCTATGGAGTTCTGATAATTCAAGAATAAAGTTTGAACCCTCAGCACAAAATAAGGCATCTTCTCATAGGCCACTGTACAGTCAACAATGCATCATCTTGTTCTTATCCCAAAGTGTTTTCTTGGGAGTCTCACCAAGCCATGTTCCAGCAAAGAAAACTTTTCAGGTCAGCTGGGGATATGATGTCTGACCATCTCTACCACCTCCCCCTCCATAAATACCTAAAGCCATGTGTTTTTAAAATCAACTCCTGCAATTTTATAGGACAAGGATTGGAGCATACTGCCTGTTGAATTTTAGCTATTGTTAAACCAAAAGTATTTTCATACTGTACTGAAAGAGTAATTTTATGGTCTCTACTATTTCCTCTAAGTACTTAACATCTTTTCTTTGAAAGATTTCATCTCTTTTTTTCAGCACTGTTTGTCTACAATTGCTCATCTCTGTAACAATTATTATTGTATATGCCTAATTTGTGCTCAAAGCAATTACAGGTCAAGACTCATTATAATGAACTCTAGCCAAACCTTTTGATTATACTGAAATTTCATCATGTCAAATACAGCTTGAAATTAAGTATTTTCTTAGCTGAGGCTTTGGATATGTTTTAGTAATAGAAAGACTTTTGTTGTAATGATATGCACTATCATGGGATTTGACTTTCTTATGGTACAAGACTGGACTAGGAGGCAGGAAATCTGGGTTTTAATTTTTGGCTCTGCCACCGTTAGCCAAGCTTCAGTATTCTCATGTGTGAAAAAAGGGGGTGGGGCAATGGAGTTTCTAAATGATAGCTAAGGTCCCTTCTAAATCTAAAATTCCAATTCTATAACATGTATCATATATCTAAAATGCTAGTCATAACTGCCATAAACTCCCCATGAATTATATGCTGAGTATAATCTCAGTTCACATCTAAACATGCCTTAAATTCACTTAAAAGGGAAGAAAGACGTGAACACAGGACACAATTAAAGCTCATTATGTCTTCAGTATACTGTCATCAATATAAATCACTTTTATCATTATAACAACTACTACTACTACCATTTATATAGTGCCTACTATGTGCACAATGCTAAGTAGTCTACAAATATCTCATCTGTACTAACTTGTGAACTACAAAACTGGAAAAAAATAAACGTTTTCCCACAACGCCTAATGACAAAACAAATAACTATATCAACACCTTTTATGTAAATCACTGAAACACAAGAAAAAGTGTCTAGTGTCCTAAGTTAACAACCTCTTCCCAGAAGATCAATAATTCATCCTCATTTACACAAGAGCCAACTTTTCTCCTTTTCCCCACAACCACTATAATGATGTGAAAAGAAGGGTCTACATATCAAGTTACTAGTCTGATCTAATGTTTTTAATAGACTATAAATCTGACTGCAGTCATTTCTAAGTTTCAATCATAACCTTTAAAAAACAAAGGATAAGGGGGAAAATCTCCCCATGATGACTTATAAATATTAGCTACCAATTCCATACCAATCTTTGAAAATGGGAATCGACTTTGTGACCCTTAATTTGCACATTTTGGATTTGGGTGTAATTTGAAAGACTGATAGATTTCTTAAATTTCTCTTAAATTAAAAGCTCCACATTGCTTTACCTGATACATTCCAACTCCAATGTGCTTCGGCTCAATTTTCACTAGCTCAGCTAACGGATCTTGTACACGTCTTGCTATGGAAACTGAAAAAACAGAATTAGAAAACAAGTGTGGTTTAATGTGAAAAGCAGTACTGGATAATTACTCACTAGTATTTAAAAGTGATGTAAGTGCTTAATCGTTTCCCCCCATTCTCCCAAAAAGAACCCAACAATTTAGTTGGAGAATTCTAACTAATGGCAGAGCATTCTCTTTTTATCATACAAAGAGAAAATATTAGATTATGATGAAGATACAATTTAAAAATTAACTCCCAGCATAGCAAACTCAGGCATTGCCTAATACAACTAAATAAGATTTCGGATCAGAACAATAAGAAAAAGTCTATAATGTATTCTTCTTTTTCATCCTTAATGCATAATGCATATGCTTATGTTAAAGAATGACAACTCAGATTTATACAATGCTTTATGCACAACAGCCCTGTGTGGGAGGAAGACGGTAAGGGCATTATTAACTCCATTTTACATGTGGGGGACAGGGACTGTACCTGTGATTTGATTGGTACAGACAAATCAGGAGGGAACATTCTGAGTACCAGTGCAGGTTGGTACATTTTCTTCAACTTACGAGTCTGAGGAAATGGCCTAGGGCAATGAGAAGTGAAGTGGCTTGTCTAGGGTCAAATAGCCAGAAGTAGGACTTGAGATCAGCTCTCTAGCCACCACATCAAGCTGCTTCTCCCTCATTTTATAATAATTAACTGAGTCCCCAATAGAAGGACTGACATACCCAGGATCACACAGTCAGAAATAGTAGAGCAAAAACTTCAACAGAGACACTCCAGACTCCAAGTTCAGTGTTCTTTCCACTACACTATGCTTCTCGTTCCAGCATAGGACATGAGTGAAGAAATAGTAGAAACATGGTCAATAGGTAAGAAGAAACATCAAATGAGTATCTGAGAAGTACTGTAAACATAGGAGTCAACAGTCACTTATTGTTATTATCTGCCAGGCACTTTGTTAAATGCAGGAGATACAAGTAAAGGCAAAAAGATGATCTCTGCTCTCAAAGGGCTCACATTCTAATGATATAAACAACATATAAATAAGTCTCTCTCTCTCTCTCTCTCTCTCTCTCTCTCTCTCTCTCTCTCTCTCTCTCTCTCTCAACTTTGAAACCCTTAAAAACTAATCAGTACAACTTGACCATGATTCCACAGAACAGATAATGAAGCACACTATGCACCTCCTCACAGAAAAGTGATTGAGAGGCACAATAAGACAGTTTTCCAGAAATGTCCAATATGTGACTTGGTTCGCTCTACTATGCATACCTATTACACGCGTTTTGACTTTTTTTTTTTTTAATGTGGAGGAGGGCAAGACAAGAAAGGCGAGGGGCTTGGGAACAAGACTGCCATAAAAAGAAAATGAAAAGGGGCAGCTAAGTGGTGCAATGGATAGAGCACCAGTCCTGGAGTCATGAGAACCTGAGTTCAAATTTAATCTCAGACTCATGACAGTCATGTGCTGTGTGACCCTGGGCAAGTCACCTAACCCCAAAAAACGAACATTAAAAAATAATAATAAAAAAAAGAAAGAAAAGAAAGACGGATTTCACTGAAGATTAACAACAACAAAATACAGAAAACACCTGAAAGCTGTAAGGAGCTACAAACAGGACAGTTTTGAAAGTTATGCATCAAATTTATTAGTTAGTTATAAAGAAAAGCTTCATGTAGAAATTTTCTTCTATTCTACTATATATTGAAATGTTCATTTTACTTGTATTTGTTAAATTTGGAATTTTTAAAAATTGAAAAATTCTAAAAGAAAAAAAAGAAAATATATAGGAAGGTTTCAAGAAGGCAGCACTTTAGATAAATTATCAATTAATGAACATTTATTAAGTACTTACTATTGCAAGGAACTATGCTAAAGAAAGATTAAGAAGTAATAAAGAATAAGAATTCCTCATATCCCCAGCACCCAATCTACTATGTGGCATCTGACAGATAATTAATAAATGCTTAATGAGTTGTTCTGAATTCAACTGAATTAAAATACATTCTAGTAAGGAGGGGATGACATTCTAGAATGCATGTCCTTACTCTCACAAAGGTCTGGCTTCCATCAGATGACACTGAACCCCTGGCCATCCTCTCTAGCACAGCTATACAGTCTCTCAGATCCTTCCAACACACTGTACAGGCCCAGAACCCCAGCGCCAATTCTAAACTCTCCTACCTTAACTATCACTCAGCAAAATCTACTCCTTTTAAGTTCACACAATTAAAATTTTCTACCACATTCAGATCATGGAGGATGTTGTACAACAGACCACAGGCCATTCAACCCCCTTTCTCAAGGAGTTCAGCCAGTACCTAGATCACTGTTTTCTTCTCTTACCATACCCAGGTCCTTTAAATGAAGGACATTCAAGTCACTGCTCCATTCAAACTCTCTAACCTCCCAATTCTTCTACCTTTTCCAGTTACTACACATTCCATCTCAGTCACACATAGGGATGTTCATATCCCAAGTATTACCATTAACTACAAGTGATCCCTTCCTGGGTCCATAATTCTTGATATCACTTTGTTTGACCAATAACCATCTACCACTGCCTCTCTCCCTATGCTCTGCATTTATTCTTCAGGCTAAGGTCTAATTAAAGCACACTTCAGTATTTTCTCAAGCCATTTCCCTGTCTCTGATTGCAATTTCCTCCCTTCCCAAACTGAACTTCACAGTTAGCCAATTCAAGATCACACTGTCCTCTTCTCTAGAATATCTTGAAACTATGTTTTTTTGATACTCATCATTTGCCAACCTTAGCTCCGGCATATTTCTGCCACCACCTCCTCTACTCCTCACATGTGGCTGAACATAGCTAGAGGAAGTTATACAAATGTGCTAATTAATCCACCACAAATTCATGTTATCTAACTTCAACTGGGCCTTCACTGCAGCAAGGTAATACTTTTATTCTTCCCTAATAGATCCTTATCTCACAAACTACAGAAGCTACTCTACTTTTCTGTCCTCAAGTCTCCCATACCTCCCGTACGCACAAATCTATCAGAGAACCTTTCTGGATGCCTATAAATACTAATCTCTACTCCCCCACCTCCTTACCCCTGCAACTACCTGTATTAAACTAGCACACTAGTTATACGATCCTGAGCAGGTTACAACTACACTCAGCTTCATTTTCCTCATCATTAAAATGGAATGAAAATAGAACCTATATCAGAAGTATCAAACGCTTCAGAGTGAAGCAAGAATCTAATAAAAATGCATTTGAAAAATATTTAGTTGGCTGGTTGTTGTCCTTCATACTTGAAGATTACCAAATTAACATCACTATGTTGGGGTCAAGGTTTATGGTCCAATTGGCTGATCAGATCAATACAAGTTCAGATGGCTCTAACACAAGTTGAGCACAACTAATCCATATAAACAGTGGAGTGGAGATACCTCTGAATTTATGCATCTCACAATTCTTTTGAACCACTGTACTTCTGCTTTGCTCATTAGAGCACATTGCCTTCTTTGATGCAGGCACACCATGCTGGACAATTTTGTGCCAGCATCTCCCATAACATGTAATCAATTCCAAAATTCTTCAAAGTGACCTTGACAGTGTCCTTGTATTGCCTCTTCTGACCTCTGTGTGAGCACCTGCCTCATGTGAGTTCTCTGTAAAATAGTCTTTTAGGGAAAGGTACATTTCACATTCAAACAACATGACCAGTCCATTTGAGTTGCATTCTCCACAGCAGAGTCTGAATGCTTAGCAGTTCAGCTCAAGAAACGACCTCAGAGTTTAGCACCTTATCTTGCCAGGTGATCTTCAGAATCTTTCTAAGACAATTCAAACACCAGTAATTCAGTTTCCTTGCATGGTGCTGGTATATTGTCCAGGTTTCACAGCATTCAACAATGAGGTCAGCATGATGGCTCTTTAGACCTTCAGTTTGGTAGGTAGTCTAATACCTCCTCTCTCCCACACACTTTCCTTTGGAACCTCCCAAACACTGAGCTAGCTCTAGCAATGTGTGCGCCAACCTGATCATCTCTATGTACATTCGTGGAAAGTGTACTGCCAAGATAAGTGAACTTATCCACAGCATTCAAAATTCCTCCATTTGCTGTAACCAATGGTTCCATGTATAGATGTGTGACGCTGGCTGATGGAAAACCTCTATTTTCTTGGTGTTAATTAGTAGGCCAAAATTAGCACAAACAGCAGAGAACTGATTCATACTCTACTGCATCTCAGCCTCAGAGGCTACACTGATTGCACAATTATTTGCTGTTGTGTTTTGCTTTTGTTTTTGTTTTAAGTGAGGCAATTGGGATTAAGTGACTTGCCCAGAGTCTCACAGCTAGGAAGTATTATGTGTCTGAGGCCATATTTGAACTCAGGTCCTCCTGATTTCAGGGCCAGTGCTCTATCCACTGTGCTGCCTAGCTGCCCCCACAATTATCTGCACACAAAAAGTCACACACCAATTCTCTCTCCACTTTAATCTTGGACTACACCCCTTTCAAGTTAAATAATTGACCATCAGTGCAGTAGCTAACCTTGATGTCATTTTTTTCCTCACTGAAAGTGTCTGACAGCATCACACTAAAAAGAAGGGGAGCGAGATACACACAAATATAAAAACAAAGATCAGAAGTAGAATTTGTTAGGGAAAGTATATGTCTGTGTAGGTATGTGTGTACATACAGGTGTAGGTGTATCTATATATCTATATATCAATATATCCGTGCTTAATTGTAGCCTTCTTGGGGGGTAGACAAACTAAAAAGCACACAGCAGAGAACAAAAGAAAACTAACAAGGAAGCAAAGATGGACAACTCCCAACATAACACATAATATTTATTATATAGGCTTTCTTGAAATGGAGATTTATTGCTATATATTTTGAATTCTCTCTTACATTCTACTGTGCACATGACATGCTTTTTTATTCTATTCTAATTTTGTATTTATGCTTCTTTTTCTTTTCTTACTGTGTATTTTAAGTTTCAGTAATATGGGGGGGGTGCGCACACACGCAAATAA